TCAGAGGTGATAGCTCCCTATCAAAGGTAGATAAACTGATCAGGTCACAACCTCATAGGGTCAAAGGTAAAGGTCGTGTGAGGCCGTATATATGAAAAATTGGTTTTTGTGTGCAATATCTTCTGAACAGGTTGAAATACTTTGACCAAATCGCAGGTGAGAACTCCCTATCTAAGGTAAATAAACTCATGAGGTACAAAACCTCATAGGGTCAAAGGTCAAGGTTGTGTGAGGCCGTATATATGAAAATTTGGCTTTTGTGTGCAATATCTCCTGAACGGGTTGAAGGATTTTGACAAAATCAGAGGTCATAACTCCCTATCAAAGGTAAATAAACTCATCACATACACAAGTTCATAGGGTCAGAGGTCAGTGTCATGAGAGGTAATATATATGACCAGTCAGGCATATCCCGCGACGCTCTGCATCGATTTGCAGGGCTTTCTTGTTTCTACAGAGTTTATGTAGGGTGCTGCTGGTTTGGGGTGTTATGTCAGCAGGCAGAGTTTAGGAGTCTGACAGCTGTGGGGAAGAAACTGTTTCGGGACCTGGTAGTCTTAGTCCATAGGCTCCTGTAGCGCTTCCCAGAGGGCAGGAGGGTGAAGAGTCCATTCGATGGGTGACTGGAGTCTGATGGTTTTCCCTGCCCTTTTCAGACACCAAGAAAAAAGGAGAGTAACTTTATTTTGTTTGTGTGATTTTATTTTGTTGTGTGACTACTGGTTGCAGTTCCCTGTTCAATTGATTGCTGTTCCCTGTTAAATTTAAAAAAGAAAAAAGTCTAAAGTTTTGTTTTGACTGGAGAGAACTAAAAAAGGTTACACTGTCTTCTGGTACTAGCTCAAAATAACAAGTGGTGCTTGCTGCAGAACCACAAAGGCGGAGCTGCACCAGACGGTGGAGCTGCACCAGAGTCAGCCCCGCCCATTCCAGAATCAGCCCCGCCCATTCCATTAGAGTCAGTCTAATTCCTTCCAGTTGTCAGACTTGATAGCATTCTGGAACCAAAGAGGGTGTTGTAGCTAAAAAATGCGAGATTGAGGACGGAGTTGAGAAGTTAATTGAACAGTTTTTGTAAAGGTTCCATATAATTAAAAATCTAACTTTTGGAACTTTTAATCATGTTATATTGTCATTTCCTCATAAGAAACACGCCAAAGCCATTTTTAGCCTCATTCATGCATTTTCCTCCCATCTCAGCTTCAATTTGGTCTCCTCCCCCGAAGCGGGTCTGGTCTTGGTTCTCAAATCTGGATATTCTGTGAATTTTCTGACAAATTATTTCTGAAATGACTTCTACTGAGACACCGCCAATAAACCATACATCCCATCTCAGAGACACACTGGGCAGCACAATTACATGTAACGCCACTTGATTTATAACAGATGCGGTGGTGTAGTGGTTATGGAGTCAGGTTGACATGCTGTTTCGCCTCCCAGTAGTGTAAGTTTTAGGTAGTTTACAACCTCTTTTCTTCATTTCTAGCTACACTTGCCAGTACTATGTTTACAACAATTTACTGGTATACCGTTTAACATATAATGTGTTTATTTATTTATTTATTCGTTTATTTAGCCAGTGTGAGTCCATTTGTGAGCAGAGTTTCAACTAAAATGCTGTTTAGGAACGACCAAATTCAAAGAACTTTTAGCGACATAAATATTTTGCTGAAAAGAAACATTACAACTAAAATATAAACAAATTGAATGTGGCTAAATAGACTGCTGATGACCCCACCGAGAATCGAACCAGCATCAGCTGAGGGGAAAGCAAAAACCAACTCAGACGACTTTACCACTAGACTACCAGAGACCATTCAATAGACTGAAGTGCTGTTGTACACCACTTTTATTAGACCAGCTGTAGGCAGATATTCGCTAAAAGAAACCTTTTCATTTCGAGATATATTCAGTCTTTGTCATGTAGCAAGTTATATTTATCTTGTTTAATTGGAGTATAGAACATAGCATTAACGACTGTAAACTAGTAACAGCCGTAATTCATGTGGGTCAGGTCAGTTTGCGATAAAGTTGAAAACAAAAACGGAAGTCAGTGGGCTAGGCTGAGTTTGCGTGAATGGGCGGGGTGCAGCTCCGCCTTTGTGGTTTTGCAGCCAGCACCCTCTCCAAAATAACCACAGTTTTTTCCCTCAGTGTCATTTGATCTATTTCTTGGGAAGATGGATGGATGGATGGATGGAGATATATATATATATATATATATATATATATATATATATATATATATATATATATATATCAATAATTATTTTTAATATAGCCTTTTTCAATACCAAACTTTCAATACCAAACAAAAATGAACTACAATAAAATTACTGGCACACTAAATTCCAATTCTCCTCAATGGGACTTGAACTCGCCAACTGATCTCCCTTACACGACACCAAACGAGGTGCTTTACTTGATTTGGGAGGGGGGAATAAAAGCAGTAAAACAATAAAACTTTGAACATTACAACACAAAGAGAAAATAAATAATGTTACAGCAATTGCGGAATGCCATCTGCGGGATTCGAACCCGCCGCAACGACCAACCAGTAGGTGTCAAACCATGACTAATGAGTGCAAGCCTTGGCGCTCAGGGACACCCATCAGTATGTGATTGTGAGGCCACAGCACATACGTTTTAGACTGGGTGGGATTCTTATACCCAACAGGAGTCTTCTGCCCGCCTTCTCATTAGAATATGCATAATTTGTGTTTCAGGCACTAGTTAACTAGTGAGCTGCTGCACTGCCACACATGTAAACTGGTGAAATTTCAATTGTTCCACTAGTTAACTAGTGGACAAAAATGGTCAGCTTGTATGTGTTTTTAGATGCAACTAGTTAACTAGTGAGCATATCTGCACCTCACTAGTTAACTAGTGAGGTGCAGATATGCTCACTAGTTAACTAGTGAGGTACTAGTGAGGTGCAGATATGCTCACTAGTTAACTAGTGAGCATATCTGCACCTCACTAGTTAACTAGTGAGCAAATCCGCACCTCACTAGTTAACTAGTGAGCAAATCCGCACCTCACTAGTTAACTAGTGAGCAAATCTGCACCTCACTAGTTAACTAGTGAGCAAATCCGCACCTCACTAGTTAACTAGTGAGCAAATCCGCACCTCACTAGTTAACTAGTGAGCATATCTGCGCCTCACTAGTTAACTAGTAAGCAAATCCGCACGTCACTAGTTAACTAGTGAGCATATCTGCGCCTCACTAGTTAACTAGTGAGCAAATCCGCACCCTACTAGTTAACTAGTTGGCGTTTTGGGGCCCACTAGTTAACTAGTGAGCATATCTGCACCTTACTAGTTAACTAGTGATGCTTTTTTGCACCTTACTAGTTAACTAGTGGGCGCTTAAGGGTGCACTAGTTAACTAGTGAGCAAATCTGCACCTCACTAGTTAACTAGTGAGCATATCCACACCCTACTAGTTAACTTGTGGGCGTTTTGGGGCCCACTAGTGAACTAGTGACACTTATTTTGCACCTCACTAGTTAACTAGTGGACATTTGTACCCTCTCTAGTTAACTAGTGAGCAGTTCCGCCTTCACAAGTTTACATGTAAGTGTCACACTGAAGCCACTACTAGTTTACTAGCTGAGGTTCCTCTGGCCAGCATGTTAACTTGTGTGCCGCATGCAAATGTTTGGGGTGGGATTTTGCAAAATTCCGCACTGTGATTGGTTGTCATATTTTATTTTAACATAGTGAGCCAATAGAAAGCCTCAATTTGAGAAATTCTCTGCCTCCTAATTAGAATTCTGTGCAACTAGCTAGCTAGTGTGAATGTAGGCTTGAACTAGTTTACTAGTATACATTTATGTCCTCACTAGTTAACTAGTTTGGACAATGGATGCATCAACTAGGTAACTAGTGAGCCTGCTACAATCAACTAGCTAGCTAGTGAGTCATTAATGGTTCACTAGTTAACTAGTGGCACTGCCCTACTCCAACTACTTAACTAGTTAGGAGTTTTGCCTTCACTAGTGAACATGTGGACACTTTGAACTGTCACTAGTTAACTAGTGAGACACAAAAACCTTCAACTAGCTGACTGGTATGCATTTTAGCCCTTACTAGTTAACTAGTGAGCCATTTTTGTGTCACCTAGTTAACTAGGATGCCAAAATGTGTTCACTAGTCAACTAGTGGGCATTTCTTCTGTCACTAGTTAACTGGTGTGCACATTTTGGCCATCACTAGTTAACTAGTGAGACACAAAAACCTTCAACTAGCTGACTGGTATGCATTTTGGCCTTTACTAGTTAACTAGTGAGCCATTTTGTGTCACCTAGTTAACTAGTGAAGCCAAAATGTGTTCACTAGTTAACTAGTGAACATTTCCGTCTCCCACTAGTTAACTGGTGGGCTCATTTTGACCCTGACTAGTTAACTAGTGAGACACAAATACCTTCAACTAGCTGACTGGTATGCATTTTGGCCTTTACTAGTTAACTAATGAGCCATTTTTGTGTCAACTAGTTAACTAGTGAAGGTCAAAATGTGTTCACTAGTTAACTAGCGTGTACAGTTTGACCCTCACTAGTTAACTAGTTGACCTGTTGACAAGATATCAGAATTAATGCTCAAGCGGCTGGCCAAAATTGGGCAAAGTTAACAAGTGGGATTTTTACATTCAGTAGTCAGCTAGTACGAGTTTTTGTACCTTACTAGTTGACTAGTAAAAACTAAATGTGTTTTAACTAGTTAACTAGTGGACATTGATCTGTCCACTAGTTAACTAGTGAACACACTGAGAAATACTAGTTAACTAGTAAGATATGAAACATTTTAACTAGTTAACTAGAGAGAATTTAGGCCTTACTAGTTAACTAGTTGACATTTAGGCTGTCACTTTTTAACTAGTTGACACAAACATGGCTAACTAGTTAACTAGTGGACAGAAATGGCTTACATGTTCATGACAATTCTGGCTGATATCCTGATATCAGAATAAATGCTCATTTGGCTTGCCATAATTCTACTTTCATCACTCGCTTCACAGTCTGGACCAGATTCAAATCCAACGTTGTTGAGTCCAATTCAGTATTATTAACTTAACTTTTTTAATATTTATTTTCATAATTTCAGTTCAGTAATTTTTGCTTTTCAATTTCAATTCAAGTCATTTTGGTCAAACTTTATTTAATTTTTTTTCTTCATTTTATTTAAAATAAAAAAAAATTGAACGTTTTATTTATTAATTTATTGATCTGATCCAATTCAAATCACTTTTGTTAAATATGATTTCATTTAGTTTAGTTTCCATCCATGCATTTTCCGCCGCTTATCCGGAGTCGGGTTGCGGGAGCAGTAGCCTAAGCAGGAAGGCCCAGACTTCCCTCTCCCAAGCCGCTTGGGCCAGCACCTCCGGGGCATCCTAAGGTGTTCCCTGGCCGGCTGAGAGACACAGTCTCACCAGCGTGTCCTGGGTCATCCTTTAGGTCTTCTCCCAAGAGAGGAATTTAAGTATCTTGGGGTCTTGTTTACGTGAGGGAAAGATGGAGCAAAAGATCCACAAGTGGATCGATTCTGCGTCTGCAGTGATGCGGGCGTTGTACCGGTCTGTCGTGGTGAAGAGAGAGCTGAGCCAGAAGGCAAAGTTCTCGATTTACCGGTCGATCTATGTTCCTGCCCTCACTTATGGTCACGAGCTTTAGGTAGTGACAGAAAGAACGAGATCACAGATACAAGCGGCTGAAATGAGTTTTCTCCGCAGGGTGTCTGGGCCCTCCTTTAGAGATAGGGTGAGAAGCTCGGTCATCCGGGAGGGGCTCGGAGTAGAGCAGCTCCTCCTCCACACCAACAGGAGCCAGTTGAGGTGGCTTAGGCATCTAGTTAGGATGCCCACCCTACATCTGTGCTGAGTGGGAGAGAACTTCCGTGGGAAGGAGGTTCAGGGATGTAGCTTAGCATCTGGGCCATGGTGGGATAGGCCAGGCCCAGGGAACACCTTGGGATTCCCCAGAGGAGCTGGCCCAAGTGGATAGGGAGAAGGAAGTCTGGGCCTCTGCTTGGGCGTCCGTCTCCGCGACCCGACCCAGGATAAGTAGAAGATGATGGATGGTGGATGAGTGTGTAGGTGATTCCCAGCCTGCCCCCCTCTCTGCTGTTATCTAATCAGGACCTGCTCCCTGGGCCGCCTCGGCTCAGACAGCCAGTGTCTTCCTCTGTGTGTCACACTGCATAAAATCTGGGTTAGCTGGAGCTCAGCACCCAGGGGAGGCACTTTTCCTCTCTCATCCCCGACACGTCTCCCTGCCAAACGGACACGGGGAGGAGGAGGGAGGCGGAAGAGGGTAAGTCTCTAAACTCGCAGCATCTCTCTCTCTCTTTGCTCCGGTCACAGTTATGACTGCAGTGAAGAAAAGAAGAAGAAAATATCATTTCTATGGCGCCTCTCAAGATAAAAAATCACGAGGCGCTTGTGGGCGAGGGGCATACAAGCTGCTCACTAAGCGAGGTCGTCTCGCCAGCCTCTCAGTTTGGCACCGGCTGACACCTCCGTGGCCAGAGGCTCAGTGAGGAAGGGAGGGGGAGGGAACGGGGTCTTCCTCTTCACAAACGTCTGCTCTCCTCACGCGCCTTGTCGTGCACAGTTCCTCTCTCTTGGCAGATGTGGAGGTTGGATCAGACGCCAGCAAATTCCTCAGCCGAGCCGGAGCAGCTCAGGCACCTGTTGCTGCAGCAGGCGGGGCAGGGTGATGCAGAAATGAGCTGTCAGAGAGGTCACACCTAAGGTCGCCTTTCATCTTTCGCTAGACTGATGGATTCTCTAAACTCACCAGGCGTTTTAGGTCTCTATGGGATTATTTGTAACCTGTACCGGTCAAAAGCCCGTCGACTCTTCACCCTCCTTCCTTCAGGCGAGACTGTTGATCAGCCTCTGACTGAAAAGTTGTTTCATGCTTTTTATTTTCACTTCCATCTGTTTATCGCTCACTAATTCTGCCACTTATAGCAACACGTTACCATAGTAACCGCTACTTTTCAGCTTGCGGCTGGAGCACGGTTAAATCTGACCTGAAGTCAGTCCAGCATCCAGTACAGTATGCTGTTAATAAAGCAAATATGAAGCACTTTTTACTTCTGTTGTTGTCCTAGACATGAACAGTTTTAGCAATATTTCAAAATAAAAGACTCTGCAGATTGATTTAAATGTATAGAAATTAGATGTGTTGTTTTTAAAGGCGGTTTTTGTTATTTCTATGTGGTTTGCACAAGTTTTTGCCTGTTTTTGTTGTTTCTGGTTCATTCTCTACATAAACTTGCCAACAACAACAACAACAACAAAATAATAAAAATAAAATGTTAAATTTTTGTGTTTTTTGAATTTGAATGTTACGGAAGAAGATCTGGGCCACTGAAAAGAAAAATTGAAAAGAGAAAATTCTGACTCCCCCCCCCCCCCCCCCCCGAACTCTGAGAAAAAAGTCAGAATTTTATCTTTTCAGTTTTTTCCATGTGTTTTCTTTAAGATTCAGGAGGTTAGCGTGAAGATTGATTTAAAAAACTGCCCAGAGCCTGCATCAGTCCATCTAGGGACGGATTTATTCCCATGGCCTTACCGCTATCCAGCTGCTAATGAGAGTTCAGAATAAAGTGTTCAAATTTAAATAAAAAACAAACACAAATCTCGACTCTTTGCTGTCAAGTCTCATCCTGATGTTTAGTGTTTTTGAGTCCATGGGGATGGAGAAGCCTAGTTAGCATTTTGCTCAATTGTTTTCATCCTCACCACAAGTGGTTAATTTTTAAGCAATACAATCTGATGTAAGTCTGGGCATGGCTGCGGCAGATTTTCCCAACCCCCCTTCCCTCTCTCTCTCTCTCTCTCTCTCTCTGGATCCCTCCCCAGCACTCAAAATGCTCCTGCTCCAAACAAAAAAAAGGAAAAGAAAAATGTTGTATTTATCCAGCAGTTGGGGGCTCTGGAGAGTTAAAGGTGGCCATATTTGATATATTTGTGTCGGGCTCTGCAATGCAGACAGACAGAGCTGTTGCTGTGTGTGATCGCGGCACCGACAGTGACACCAAAGGCTGCACAGTCTGTCGGATTTTGAGAAAACAGAGAGGAGGGGGCGACTGAAAAGAAACAAACAACTAACAATGCAACTTACATCCACTCACACACCCCTTCGTCTTGTAACAATGTGTAGGTTTTTTAAGGAGGGAGGGGGGCGCGCGGAGGCAGAGACACGGAGAGAGAGAGATAGAGAAAGGGAGGAGGGGGGTGCGTTCTGAAATAATATAGTCAGCCATTTTTATGTAAGGGGATTTTTTTTCTTATTGGGGGGGTTGTTAAAAAATAAATATAAGAGGGCGGCCATCTTTGTTGCTCAGCCTTAGTGTAAAATATTCCAAAACGCCCCCCACTTTTTCTCCCCCTTCCTCGTGCCGATTTGAATATTAAATAAATATAATTTTCGCGCCAGTTTTTATCTAACTGTTATTTTTTTTAAATTTTGAGATGTATATTTTTTAAGAGGACGCGTCCGATGACGGGAGTATAATGTCCTCTCCTCTCCGCTCCTGCGAGGAAGAAGAGGGCATGGTGGTGGTTAATTCCGAGGGAGGAGATTTTGATGAAGAAGAGGACGACGACGGAGACCTAGACGAGAACGCAAGCGACATAAACTCGCCGGCGGCGCTAAGGGAAACTGCAACACCGGCCGCGCCAGGTACGGTAAAACAGCGGTGGACAGTTCGGGAGCGCGCGCTCGATTAGGAAAAAAAAAATCACTTTTTGACTCGCAGAAACCGCGCAGGTTAGATTAAAGGGCAGCATAAACTGTGTCACGATGTCCAGGCCGGTACAGAGTGTGCGCAAACATTAAAAAAAAACATTCAAAGTAGTTTGGCTCGCGCGCTCCATATTGCAACAGAATGTGTTTTTTTTAAAAAGCGACATCGCGTGCCCAAATTCTGTCCTCAGTTCACTTCCTCCTCACCTCTTCACCTCTCCTCAAAGTTCACACTGACTTCCCTCGACCATCACCAAAAAAGTAGCTCCATTCTTTTGCCCTTTCCCATTAACCCCCCGACAGCTCACAGACATGGCAGGACTCATGCTGATACCCCCAGGGAGGTAATTAGGTCGCCCTGGAGGGGCAGAAAAGCACACAGCTGACTCCCCCGCCGGAGGCTACATGTATCTGATAAGCCCAGCTGGGGAGGAGAGAGGAGATGGTGTCAAAGCCGGTGTCACCACCCTCCTTTGGTGGCTTTATGAACAGACAGGTCAACCCTTCTCACCTGCGGCTTTAATGGACTGTTATTAAGAGGGACCTCCTCCCTCGCAGGTGTTTTACTGTTACATCAGGAGTGGTTTTGTCCCACGGTCCCTGAACGTGACATTCTGGAACTTTCCGTGGCAGTGAACTTGCCCCGGGGTGCAGTGAAAGTGAACGGGGAAAAAAGTGGTTAACCGCACTGTAAACAGCACACATTACACTAACAGGGTCAATGTTAAAGTTCACAGCTTTATTATAAAGCGTTACTGTCACTATCTGAGTTTAAATGAGAGGTGATTGTGAGGGAAACACGAAAGGGGGCTAAATCAGCCATAATGCTTTGTGAAAATCAGAGGTAGCAAGCTAGCTCCGGCTCCCCGCTGACTGAGACGAGCTAGACAGATAAATCAGTGTGCCTGTTGTGGGCTTTGACCCGCTCTCGACCTCTCAGAGGTGGTCTCGGTCACCCCCCCGTGTGGGACCAGAGGAAGTCGTTCTAGTTCACAGCACCGGCGGCGGCCTCCGAATCACCGAGCCCCGCGTGCGTGCCGCTTCCGCCCCCGGCATGCCTTCGGCGGTTGCACTGACTTGTGGGAAGCGGTGGGGTTCTGGCTGGGTGGGTGGGAGAGAAGAGGAGGAGGAGGTTGTATGGCTGTATCGATGAAGAGGGAGGTGGCTGTTGCTGCTGCGGGTGGGAGTGAGCACCAACAAAGGCAGAGAGACAATAAAAGTCCGACAAAATTTAATATCTTAAATGACTGTCTGGCGGAAGCTGCAGCCCGCATTTGGGCTTCATGCTTTAATGCTTTGCTGCCCTCCTTAAGCTCCCATCAGCACCAAGCCAGGTCAGGCTGCAGGTTCAACTGTGTTCCCTGTGGAACTGGCCTGACATTTTCACATAATTTACCCTCTCAGACGAAAGATGTTTAGTCTCAGTAGTTCACAGTGGCTTGTCCCAACAGGAGTTGTTTTAATGAGCTAATCCCTGGGAGCCACCACTATTTTCTCCTCTTATACTAATAAATATGCATGGATGAATTCCAGACATTTCCCAGAACGGCATCGACTAACTCAGTTATTGTATAAGGCAACTTTAATTTATGAACCGTATCAGAAATGTAAAGAGGGCTGGCAACTTTATCAACAAAAATGTTAAAGGTGCTGCTTTTGGACCATTTCCACTATCCAGCATGGCTCATCTTGACTCTGCTCTATACAGTTTGTGTGGTTTTCCATTACAACTTACCCCTACTTTTCACTGGAGGCATCAGCTGCGCGAAACGGCAGTGGAACATCACTGCTTCAAATACAATTCATTATAGTCTATCTGGGTGATTCAAACAGGCTGCAACGCAGAAATTTTTGCTTGCCAGAAGCTGTCTGCCATGCCGATAACCCATTCACTGCCATTTGCATTTTTTACTGTGTGGGCGTTGGACGAGCCCCCGCACCGTGAGAACAAACATCTCAGTTCTAAAGCCGATCTTCATCCGCATACGTCACATGTCACGTGACCAGGAAGCAGAAAATCCATGTGTTAGGAGATCGTTTTGGGCCGTTGCTGTAAAAAAAAAAGCGAGGCGCGAACCGGAAAAGCTTCTGCCGATCACAATTCAACAACGGATTATGTAAGAACGGATAACGCTCGAAATGCTCGGATTCTTCCTGATGTAAGAGGTGAGTCTCCTCTTTGTTTTGGCCGTTTTGGCGTCAACATCATCCTAGCGCGCAACGTTCTGTGACTCTTAAAAAAAATGTAAAAACGGTGAGAAGCGCTGGCAGGGCTTTACCGATCAGGAAACGTCTGGCAGCGAATGAGTTAAAGATAGGTTTGGGTTCTAGTTTTGCCGTGAGCTGTTTCTGGGACACATTAATTTCCACAGTTAACATAGAGCTTGACAGGAAATCAGACATGGTTTCAGTGTGAAACATCTGGCAATTTTCAAAATAAGAGAGTACTGCAGCAATGCGATTTCATATCTATGTAGATTACGTCAATACAAGTGACCTAACGACCTATTTGCTCCCAGCATCATTCCAGATGTGCAACTGTGTGTTTTTATGGTTTTATTCCTGGCTGTGGAGAGGAACATCATATATGACATCAAACAATGTTATCAAATGTGATTTCCTTCTTTTTGGTTTAATGGCAGATGGCATTAACAAACAGTGACCTTTGAAATCTCGAGGGATTTTGTGATCTCGCGAGTCCAGCGCGGAGCACGGCAGAGAAGCCGTTCTGCGGTTGAGATTCTACTGATGTGTACTGGCACTCAGCAGATCTCGCGAGTAAACTGTTCCGCTGCCGTTCCAAGATGCTGATGCCTCCGATGTGAAGTAGGAGTTAGAAACGGCTCTAATAGGTGGGCCTCTCATAGCAACACTGCAACCCAACTCAAAAGTAGCTCGAGGTGAACTGTGCCTGACACAAACGTAGTGCGTGGGGATCTGTATGCGACACAAAAACACAACGCAACAATGGCATGTTGTTGAATATTCTGCTTAGTCTTGGGCTTTTTTAAAAACTCTAAAAATTAAGAACCTGGAAAAGGCTTCGGGCAGCCATGCTGAATCTCAGTAGCAACCAGTGAGTCCGCCCGCTCCCTAGCCAGCCAGTGACCAACACTCTGAGATGTAACATTGTCTACCAGGATTGATACGCTTGGAACCAGATCAAAGCTGGTACTGGAAAAGGGACGAGAACCATGGACATGTTTTCTAATGGGCGGGACTTGAAACAAAGCCAAGTCGAGCTGCACCGAGTAGGTTCTATTGGAAAAGGCCCATAAAGTCACCATGGTAATAACACACCTGTTTTACTTTCTACCAGCAAACGAAAGGTGCACAGTCAGGGACACAGACTGACATTTAACCTCAGACGAACAGTTTTTGTTGCCAAAAGAAAGTTAAAAACTTTATACGTTAAATGTGAATTTTTATTACAGTTTTTCTTGATTGCTTGAACACATTTCTTGAAACTATGCCTCGTATTCTCAAACCAGTTAACACAAATCCATAACGTCCCACCGAATTTCCCAAACATTGTATTTTCAGGTGAAGATGAAGCTCTACACTCAAAACCATTCACTCTTGCGGTAAAACCAAACTTTGCCCACAGACATCACACACAAGGCCTCATAAACACACACACACTACAATAGTCTTACACATTGGTGCAATAAATTAGGGACAAGATTTGCAAAACTGGCCAATAAGTCCTCTTCCACCTCCTCTTGCACTATCTCCACCTCCTCCATTCTGGTGTCTAGCTTGCTGGTGGCCTGCCTTTTTTCAGGGTGCAACAAGACTGTTTTTCAGCCCTCTTTCTGAGGTGGTCTGCTTCAGGCTGACCAGGGCCAACACACCCACTGCTGACTGATATGCCGGCTTATCAGTCAGCAAATTCACACCTTCCACGCGAGAGGTGGGACTGTGAACCTAGCCCTAGACCCCCTTTTCCTCCTCTTCCACCTACTCTCACCACCTCCACTCTGGTGTCCTAGACCTCCTCCTCCTCTTCCACCTCCTCCACCCTGGTGTCCTAGACCTCCTCCTCTTCCACCTCTTCTTTTGCATCTCTTTGGATCCATTGTTTCAAACCTGAATGCGCCGACTTTAAATTTTGATATATAATTTGTATTCATAATAAATTTGGGGGTAAGAAGAGACTTGGAAAGCTTAGATGGCTCAAACTGTCTGTTGAACATTCAGCAGAAAATCCTAAAAGTCACCAAACTAAAACTGTAATTGTCTGAATTCAGTTAAAGATGTAAAAATGTCACTTCAGTCATGTTTTTGTACATTGTCTCTACTATTAAGTCTAACTGAGCTATCCCCCCTGCGCACCTGTGTTACCAGATCATCTGGGTCCATCATGAAGGATGGCAAAAGCATAGTAAAACGTGAGCGAAACAAGTTGAAAGGAAAAGTAGCGCCAAAGATTGGTTTTTATTTTTGTTGTTGTTGTTTTTTGGAATGTTTAGCATGGCTTCAAGTAGTTTTTTCCCCAGTTTAGCTTAGTTTCTACTGGTTTAAAACCAGATCACTTGTGGGAAGCTAGGCAGGGCTCATACAGAGTGGCATTTACAAAAGTTAAGCGTTAGCTAGCTTACGAACATTAGCTTAACTTCTCCACGCAGCTGTTCACTAATGCAAACAATGCCAGAATTTATTCCACTGAATTTATAACATTACATCATAAACAGCGTTCACTTTACATTGGAATCGATTAAAAAAATAAAAAATAAAAAAACAAAAGAAAGAAAGAAAAATCCAGAACTTTAGCAGTTTTTTTTTCTGGTGGGGTCATCAGGTTCAGCTTCTTCTCTAACACCGGGGCGAGACAAGATATCGCATAACGCTGACGCTCATCATGCCAAATACATAATATCATAGAACATTTTTATTACAATAAATAATTATCTCGCAATTCACCATAGTGGACAGTTATTGATAGCCTACTAAACAAGTTGTATAAACACATCACATTTGCCATTTCCTGTCTGAAATATATCAATGTTAATCTTAAACAGCGCAACGTGTTCCCTGCAAATTTGAAATTACTTTGAGGGCTGCTAGTCTGTAACTGCTACAGTTCACCTCCGTCCTCAGTCTCCATCAAAGTTATTAACCCTCTCAGGCTCAAAATAAGTTTTGATAAAAAGACGAACAACTAAGTCCTTCAGGGGTACTTCTGAGTTAACAAATGCTCATGAAATACGTATGTGGAGTAACCAGGTAGGTAGGTTTTAACGTTGCAAATCTGCAACGCCTGCCTCCAGGGGGTTAACCCTCCCACTGTCCTAATGGGTGTGTGAGGAGTGAGCACCACCTCACCCCTGCCACGTGGACCTCAAGGGCTAAACCATCAATCCTGCTCAATGGTCAACTTTCCTCGTGGGGTCACACCCATTAGGACAGTGGGAGGGTTAAAAAAAGACAAGCTGAGTTTCCACACTTGTCTGCTAGTGCAGCCACTACGCAGCACACTTTACTCTGAAATCAAAGAAATAAAAGTGATAAAGGCTACAAACTGGCTTGTTTTGACTAGCTTCCCAGGAGTTTTAATGTGTGTAAACAGTCTTCCTGCCATCTATCATGGCAAAGGGGGCGTTTCCATGAACGTCACGCGCAAACGGTCCAAAGCTCTAGAGAAGGCGGAGTTTCCTCACCAGTTTCACCAAAATCCCATTGTTGTGTACATACAATATTTTCTGCTACCTTCCTCTACATAGTACAATGTACCCCTATCTAAAGTCATAGGACACTAATTCCAAATTAACTGCTTAATTCAGGGTTGTTATTTTAAGCTGTGGGGTTAGAAAACTCACAAAAATGTCTGAATCACAAACTAGGCAGTTGTTGCTGACATCGTCACTCACTGGCACTCTTAATTATCCCTTTTTTCCTGTAGCATCACTAACAGCAGCTGTCATATCCACTCAAAGCCCTAATGCAGCACATGTCACAATACAGATGGGATCAGAGGTCACTGACACCTCCATGGCTGTCATTCAGCTCTTGTTGAATGTATTTAGGTTCAGCAGGGAATTAGCCGTCCTGTCGAGAAGCGTTTTGACAAGATTAGTCAGCATGGTTTGATGGCCTTTTGTCATCCGTGCTCTCTTTAACCCCAGAAGATGAAGTGGAGCTATCAGAGAGAGAGGTCCCGTGCCGGAAGAAAGGCAGACCCAAGAAGAAAGACACAAAGAAGAAAGAGAAAGAGGGGAAGCCGGTCAAAGCAAAAAAACGGAAGAAGATTGTAAGTTTAATGGGTTTTCTGTCCGCATCATTTTCCGTCTGATGACTGAGGTCCCTGTCTGAACCTGTTGTGTCAGTCCACTGTGCAGGACAGCGATGTAGAGCGAAACTCGGACAGAGACTATGGCGGGAACTCGGACAGTGCAGCCAGCGACTATGGCTCTGGAGAGAAGAAGAAAAAGAAGAAACACAAAGAAAGGAAAGAGAAGAAAACCAAGAGGAAGAAAAAAGACAACAGAGACAGAGATAGCAGTCAGGAGGAAACAGCAAAGGTAAGAATTAAGAGTTTGGTTGTCATATAAGTTCTTGGAAAAGCCCGACCTGGTATCTTCTCAGCAGCCTGTGGAGCAGAAGACCTCTGCCCAGCTGGCGAAGGAGTGGGGACTGGAGGACGTTGATCATACCTTCACGGAGGAGGACTACAGGGAACTCACAAACTACAAAGCCTTCAGCCAGTTTATGAGGTACTTTGTTTTTAATATGATATTAAAGTTTGCAAACATCGAGGGTGCTTTGCCACTTCAGGAGGTGTTTAGTAGAGCTTTTCCAGCTTGGAAACCTTGCCATTTTCTTGAGTTTGACCTTCTGCTGGTCCCAGGCCGATGATAGCCAAGAAGAACCCTAAGATCCCCATGTCAAAGATGATGACCATCCTAGGGGCCAAGTGGAGGGAGTTCAGCTCCAACAACCCCTTCAAAGGCAACGCTGCTGCTGTAGCAGCGGCTGCCGCCGCCGCCGCCATCGCTGTTGCCGAGCAGGTCTCTGCAGCGACTGCCTCCCCCGAGCCGCCTCCTCAACCGCCGCCGATCAGAAAGGCCAAGACGAAAGAGGGCAAAGGTCAGTGGTGAGCTTTGGCTCTGTCTGTGTACTGTTTGCCTTTGATCCTGTTTAGATAATCGTCAGAAACAGAGGTGGCAGAGAACCTTCTTCTCTTTCCAGGTCCAGGATACAAGAAACGCAGTAAAAGTCCTCGAGTAGCAGACAAGAAAAAAGCTGTGGCCAAGGCCAAGAAGATGGCGCCCATTCGTATTAAACTATTAGCCATTGGAGCCAAAAGGAAGAAGAGTTGCTCTGTGAGTCCAACCTTCACACGGTGCAGGAAACTCTTCATCTCGGGCGATCAGTAACCAGTGTGTTATTAGTGAATTTGTGTTTGTTGTGATTTGTGCTTCAGAGCGACGACATGGATGAGGAGGAGTCTGAGCAGGAGGACTCCAGCGTTCACAGCTCCTCCGTTCGCTCGGACAGCTCTGGACGGGCGAAGAAGAACAAGAGAGGACGGCCCGCCAAGAAGAAGAAAAAGAGTAAGACAGTTCTGCTTGTGCATTATATTTTACTGGTATAACTGGATATATTGGCACCGAAATGTGAAATGGGAAATGACCAGTATCAGCTTTTGTTCTTTTAATGTCACAACTTCTCCACACTAACACATTTATGCATCCAAGTCTTCAGCTACTTCTTCTCTCACTCAAAGTCAAAATCTGACAGATCTGAGGTTTAGATTTTGAGTTGTTTTTGTTTGTTTGGCACAAAAGGCCCAACCTAAAATGAAGTAGTTGGCATATTTTGCACTGTTACATGCATGATATGCGATAGGCGATGTTACGTAATATGATATTAGTTTGGAGAAATAAAGTTTCATTCTGACTTGACTGACAGGCAAACGGTTAGTTTGAGTAGAGACAAACCCACCCTGGTTCACATTTAAAGTGATTCTTTGAAGCTTTTTCATATTTTCATATGCTTTTCTTGAGCCAGTGTGTGCTAAAATGACCCGTTACGGGGTTATTGAAATGTCACAAAGACCCCCACCGCCCTCTGTGGCCAGAATAGCGTAGAAGCGGAACAGTTTACCCGCGAAAATCGTAGCGAAGCGGCTTCTCTGCTGCGCTCCTCGCTCGACTCGCAAGAACACACGATCCCTCGAGACTTCAAAGGTTAGGGTCTGTTTATGCAATCCGCCGTTGAACCAAAACGAAGGAAATCCCGTTGTTATTGCTGTTTGATGTCATATAAGATGTTGTCCCTCTCCAGTGCCGGGATTAAAGCCATGAAAAACACACCGCTGCACTTCAGGAACGATGCTGGGAGTAAATACGTCGTTGGGTCACACGTAAGCCTCATATATATGAATCCCATTGCTGCAGTACTTTTATTTTGAAAATTACTGGGGATTTCACACTGAAACTGTGTGTGATTTCCTGTCTTGCTCTATGTTAACTGTGGAAATTGACGCATCCCAAAAGCGGCTTGTGGAAAATATAGAGCCCGGTCCAATCTTTCCGTGTTTGTTTTGAATCTCGTACAGCGCTTTGATTTGCACTTGCTGTATGAAAAGTGCTTCATAAATAAAGTTTGATTTGATTTGATCTTTAGTGGCGCAGGGTGCCATTTCTGGGACACATCTGAAAATTGCCGCGTCGTGACTGGTTTGTGACACTCCATAGACTTTAATGGATTCTATTTGAAGCAGTGCCGTTCCGCGCCGCTGATGCTTCCAGTGTGCAGCAGGGGTGAAGCCTGATTTATACTTCTCCGTGTGTCAGCACGAAGAAAAGCAATGCCATTATCCGTTGTGGCAACGGCTCTCCAACAGGCTCGCAAGGATGAACAGAGTAGAGCCCTCTTTTCTAACTATCTGTTGAAAGCGACGGAGACCGCAAGCCTGTGATTGGTCAGGACGCCACTTCCTTTAACTTCTCCAACAGCACCGCCATACCTCCTCAAAAACATAAAACGAGAACCAAACATATTAGCTTCAGAGACTGAAGAAAGTCTTGTGCAAAAAGTCCATCGATATAAACATTACACCCGTGACTGAAGGAGTACAAAGAAAGGCTGCAAGCTTTTTATTTGTGTCAGGAAATTATAGGAAAGGTGAGTTTAGAGGTGGTGACTTGATGATGATGATGAGGTGAAGGACAAATTAGTCCACGTTAAACCGTCTCTGAAACATAAACAGAGACGTGACCGCATTGGTGGCAGGAAGCAACAGAAAAGCGCTACGCCCTCTGCTGCACTGGTGGAGAATTGCTTTACAACTAACTAACTTGTTTTTATTTGACTATTTTTTCTGTCCTGTCTGTTTATTATCTTCCTGCATCTCCTCTCAATCCTAAAGAAAAACTGCTACCTGGGTTCATATATATTCACCTCATGAGTTACCTTTGTACTGCAGTTCTAAAAGATCCACCGACCACAAAAACAGCGGAGTGCGCACTGACCGCACCGGTGAGATGAAATCACCGGAGGACAAAACATGTGATGCACTCCCGCTCCACAGCAGCGAAACGCATCAGGCACAAATAAATGACAGAAAACATAAAAGGAAATGAGCCGACATGAACAATCGCGTGTTAAATTTGTTTTTGAGGTGGCGACACCTGATTTGATAATGTTACTGTGGCCGTGCTCAGGACGCAGATGTCTGGAGCGCGTCAACAATCAGAGCTTTGCATGTGCAAGCTGTTTAAAGTTAGGATGGGGGTGAGGGGAAGGTTAAATTGCAAAAGAGGGTAAAGGTCACAATTCGGTCAAATGTCCATTTTACCACGGGCGTCAGACACCGACACGCAGGGGCTCGTCACCTGCTCTCTTTTCCAAGGACTGCATCTTGTCGGTCATTATCACGTGACAGCGACTAGTCGATGAAAGGCATAAAAAGTCACTACAGAGCAGTGAAGCCGACTAGTTGATACAACCCCTAGTAGACACTAATGAAGACTGAGGAGACATTTCAGCTGTTAGATTAAGGTGTTAAAAAGACGAGCGCAAATTGAGGAGATTCCCTTTTGGTTTCACTAACGGAACACTAGGGGTGCTTAAAGCAAGCCAAAATTGCACTTTTATGTCGTTAATACCAGTTCCAGGTGAGGAGGAAGGCGATGGCTATGAGACGGATCACCAGGACTACTGCGAGGTGTGTCAGCAGGGCGGTGAGATCATCCTGTGTGACACGTGTCCTAGAGCGTATCACCTTGTTTGCCTGGAGCCTGAACTGGACAAGGCTCCAGAGGGGAAGTGGAGCTGCCCTCACTGTGTGAGTACAAGCTGTTTCTGTCCATGGTATGCAAATGTGGCCCTCATTTATACCTCTGTGACTGAGTTGGATTCAAAAGTGCTCTTTTTATAGACGTGTAACTGAAAAGTTACTCTAAAAACACGGGCTTTATTTAAATTCAATTCAATTCAAGTTTATTTATATAGCGCCAGATCACGACAAGAGTCGTCTCAAGGCACTTCACATAATAAAAATTCCAATTCAGGTCAGTTCATTAAGCCAATCAGAAATAATTTTTCCTATATAAGGAACCCAGCAAATTGCATCAAGTCACTGACTGGTGTCAGTGACTATACAGCAATCCTCATACCAAGCAAGCATAAAGCGACAGTGGAGAGGAAAACTCCCTTTTAACAGGAAGAAACCTCCAGAGAATCCTGGCTCAGTATAAGCAGCCATCCTCCACGACTCACTGGGGATCGAGAAGACAGAGCACACACACACACACACACACACACACACACACACACACACACACACACACACACACACACACACACACACACACACACACACACACACACACACACACACACACACACACACACACACACACACACACACACACACACACACGGACAAGTAATGTGTCTACATTTGAATGTAGCACAAGTACAACAACATTTTCCAAGCAGCAAGCATTTCTTAAGGGAGTTTTTCTAAAGAGTCCTAATAACTCATTTTATACTTTTCATTTAAACATCTAAAAATGATCATCACCATCTCACTTTAGGATTTCCTTTCGTCTGGAGAAACATCTGCCAATTTGTTGGCCAAGTTCACTGAGAAACTGTTTTGTTGTTATTTTTGATATAGGGTCAGTCACTCTGAGTTTAACATGCAGGCTGGCTGTGAAAATACTCTTCTACCCCTACTTCCTGTATTAGCTGTCAAAAGCCAATATATTTGCCCGTCGTAATGTCAAGCATTCATGGACTCGCCCATCTTGACTCACGACAGGGAAGGCTGTTGTTAGTTTAATGTCCAGGAGACAGCAGAGAACGTCTCGACTAGTAGAAGCTAATCGTTAGCATTAGCAACTCCACCACACAGCAGAATTCCTCCAGACGTGTTATTTGTGGAGATAAATCATCACTGTGATGGACTGGCAGCCTACAGGGTGTATTCCGCCTGCTTGCCCAGAGACAACTGGAGATAGGCCCCAGCCCCTCTGCGACCTTGAGCGGATAGGCGGGTAAAGAAAGTGAATGAATGTGTAAAACATGAACATTTCAAAGCAAATGGAGTCGGTGTTATCCAATCAGAGGAGGGATGTCCAAACATCAGGAAATAAAACTAAATCCTGCTGTCTTTAGCTCAATTCATCTATGGCTCATTTCTGGTTCCTGAAAAAGGAGCGCAAGGGCATTTGTTCATTCTAGAGACCACTGCAGACACGTTGAAAAAAGGAGTGAATGAAAAAAGAAAACCACACATTTCCAATTGGAAAGAAATTCAATATTTTTGAGACGATTTAAATGGCCTGTATTTGATATAGCGCCTTCTAGAGTCCTGGAACCCCCCAAGGCGCTTTACAACACAATCAGTCATTCACCCATTCACACACACATTCACACACTAGTGGGGATGAGCTACAATGTAGCCACAGCTGCCCTGGGGCGCACTGACAGATGCGAGGCTGCCGAGCACTGGCGCCACCGGTCCCTCCGACCACCACCAGCAGGCAAGCTGGGTTAAGTGTCTTGCCCAAGGACACAACGACAGCGACAGACTGAGCGGGGCTCGAACCTGCAACCTTCCGATTACAGGGCGAGCACTTAACTCCTGTGCCACCGTCGCCCCTTAATGAAGATGTGTAGTCTGAGAATCAGCTCCTCTAAATCTGAGACCATGGTCTTGATTCAGAAAAGGGTAGAACGCCTTCTCCGGGTCAGGGATGAGGTCCTGCCCCAAGTGGAGGAGTTTAAGTATCTCGGGGTCTTGTTCACGAGTGAGGGAAAGATGGAGCGTGAGATTGTTAGGCGGATTGGAGCTGCATCTGCAGTGATGCGGGCGTTGTACCGGTCTGTCGTGGTGAAGAGAGAGCTGAGTCAGAAGGCAAAGCTCTCGATTTACCGGTCGATCTACGTTCCTACCCTCACCTATGGTCATGAGCTTTGGGTAGTGACCGAAAGCACGAGATCGCGGATACAAGCGGCCGAAATGAGTTTTCTCCGAAGAGTGGCTGGGCTCTCCCTTAGAGATAGGGTGAGAAGCTTGGTCATTCGGGAGGGGCTCGGAGTAGATTTGCTGCTCCTCAACATCGAGAGGAGCCAGTTGAGGTGGCTCGGGCATCTGGTTAGGATACCTCCTGGACGCCTCCCTGGTGACGTTTTCCGGGCACTTCCAACCAGGAGGAGACCTAAAGGTAGACCCAGGACACGGTGGATGGACTATGTCTCTCACCTGGCCAGGGAACGCCTTGGGATTCCCCGGAGGAGCTGGCTCAAGTGGCTGGGGAGAGGGAAGTCTACCTACCTACCTACCTGCCTACTCACCCGCCTACCTACCTACCTACCTACCTACCTACCTACATACCCACCCGCCCACCTACCTACCTACCTACCTACCTGCCTGCCTGCCTGCCTGCCTGCCCGCCCGCCCGCCCGCCCACCCACCTACCTACCTACCTACCTACCTACCTGTCTACCCACCCACCTACCTACCTACCTACCTACCTACCTACCTGTCTACCCACCCACCTACCTACCTACCTACCTACCTACCTACCTGTCTATCCACCCACACACCCACCCACCAACCTACCTACCTACCTACCTACCTACCTACCTACCTACCTACCTACCTACCTACCTACCCACCCACCTACCTACCTACCTACCTACCTACCTACCTACCTGTCTACCCACCCACCTACCTACCTACCTACCTACCTACCTACCTGTCTACCCACCCACCTACCTACCTACCTACCTACCTACCTACCTACCTACCTGTCTACCCACCCACCTACCTACCTACCTACCTACCTACCTACCTACCTACCTACCTACCTGTCTACCCACCCACCTACCTACCTACCTACCTACCTACCCACCCACCTACCTACCTACCTACCTACCGTCCTACCTACCTACCTACCTACCTACCTACCTACCTACCTGTCTACCCACCCACCTACCTACCTACCTACTTACCTACCCACCTACCCACCCACCCACCTACCTACCTACCTACCCACCTACCTACCTACCCGCCTACCTATCTACCTACCTACCCACCCACCTACCTACCTACCTACCTACCTACCTACCTACCTATCTACCTACCTACCTACCTACCTACCTACCTACCCACCTACCTACCTACCCACCCACCCACCTACCCACCTACCTACCTACCTGTCTACCTACCTACCTACCTGTCTACCCACCTACCTACCTACCTACCTACCTACCTACCTACCTACCTACCTACGTACCTACCTACCTACCTACCTACCTACCTACCTACCTACCTACCTGTCTACCCACCTACCTACCTGTCTACCCACCTACCTACCTACCTACCTACCTACCTACCTGTCTACCCACCTACCTACCTACCTACCTACCTACCTACCTACCTACCTACCTACCTACCTACCTACCCACCTACCTACCTACCCACCCACCTACCTACCTACCTACCTACCTACCTACCTGTCTACCCACCTACCTACCTACCTACCTACCTACCTACCTGTCTACCCACCTACCTACCTACCTACCTACCTACCTACCTACCTACCCACCCACCTACCTACCCACCCACCCACCTACCCACCTACCTACCTACCTGTCTACCTACCTACCTACCTACCTACCTGTCTACCTACCTGTCTACCCACCTACCTGTCTACCCACCCACCCACCCACCTACCCACCTACCTACCTACCTACCTACCTACCTACCCACCTACCCACCTACCCACCTACCTACACCTGTGGCCCCGACAGGGACATAGGCCACCTCTCAGCTCCCTCCAGGCATCTCGGTTCTGGGCTAGTCTCTCCAGCTGTCCCTATGTCTTACCCATCTCCTTGACATCTGCCTCCACATCACCTTCTCATTACAATGACTTTAAAAACCAAAGTTTAAAACACAAGTAGGAATTATAAAGAATATTTAGATGTCAATATGTGAAATTAAGTTTATGTAGAGGCTAAATGTGGTGAAATGCTACTGTAAATTCTTAATTATTAACAATCAGCACCCTCAGATGTGATGGATAATAGTTTGTGTTCATTTATCTGTTAGAGACGTTGCTGTGGAGCCTTTATAATGGGTCACAGAAAGCAGCTGGGTCTCTTTTTAAACTTTGGAGTAGAAATCTATATTTTATGAGCTCCATTCTTCTTCCTTCCAAACGTGGCTCAGCAGCTTGACTGAAGGTCTCCTGAGTCCTGCTCTCTCACATCTCAAGTCTCTCAGTCACTTTCACTCCAAACAGAAGAAGAAATCACAACTCTAGCCTGGATTCTCTTATTTCTAAGTCCCAGTACGCTCTCTGGTATCATTTTCACCGCCAACCTCAAATAAAGACATAAAATGGTGAGAAAAGCTGTTTTTTCTGCTTCCTCAGGAAAAAGAGGGAATCCAGTGGGAAGCAAAAGACGAAGACTTTGAGGATTTTGAAGAAGACAGTGAGGACAGAGTGATATCAGAGGTCAGCGTGGGGGTCCCCACTGGTGTAGAGGAGGAAGAAGATGACCACATGGAGTTCTGTCGGGTGTGCAAAGATGGCGGAGAGCTGCTGTGCTGCGACACATGCACGTCCTCCTATCACATTCACTGTCTGAACCCGCCGCTGCCAGAGATCCCCAACGGAGAGTGGCTGTGTCCGCGCTGCATGGTCGGTTTATTTCACACTATGGATCTGATTGGTTCACTGCCACGGTTTATCAACTCAACAAAGTGTCAGCACTTGTTGGATCTGGTTTTGAAATATTTTCTTGCCCTAGTGTCCGACAATCAAAGGACGGGTGCAAAAGATTCTTCACTGGCGATGGGGTGAGCCGCCGCCTCCCATTCCTGTGCCGCCTCCGCCCGATGCTCCTCCTGATGCCCCTCCACCGCCACCCATGAAGGGCAGGGCTGAGAGGGAGTTCTTCGTGAAACTGGCGAACCAGTCGTACTGGCACTGCACCTGGATCACCGAGCTACAGGTGAGACATTACCATCTGTTCTTACACTCTTGACACCTTTAGGAGGAATTCTTCCCATCAACCAACTTCTCACTCTTTCAGCTGGAGATCTTCCACTCAGTGATGTACAGGAACTACCAGAGGAAGACTGACATGGACGAGCCGCCCAGCCTGGATTACGGCTCCGGCGAGGACGAGAATGGAGTGGGAAAGAGTGAGAAGAGGAGGGCCAAAGACCCCCAGTACGCCTTGCTGGAGGACAAATACTACAAGTATGGCATCAAGCCTGAATGGATGATCATCCAACGCATCATAAACCATAGGTACAAGTGGCCGCATGTCTAAAGCAGGTGCAACGCAAGTTTCTGTCCCAGTGCTCACTGTCCATCATTACTTCCTCTGTCAGCGTGGACAAGAAGGGGATGTACCACTACCTGGTGAAGTGGAAAGACCTGACCTATGACCAGTGTACCTGGGAGGGAGACAACATGGACATCCCCGACTTTGAAATCCACAAAGCCGGCTACTGGAGACACAGGTAGGATGGACTTTGGTAACATTTTTGTTAGCTTTTATACTTATGAGTATATAGTCTGGCCATGACCCATAAACAGAGCTCAGGTGTGGGGCAGAATCTATGGTTGTCTGTCAAATTGTCTCACAATTTCCAGTTTGACAGTGTTAGGACCAATCAGACGTATGCATAGAAACAAACATAAGTCTAGTAGGCGGTCCGCTAGTCACCTTCAAAGAAGCACCTCTATCTACTCATGTTTCAGCGAAGTCTGAGTCGTCCAAAGTGGATGCCAAAGGCGTTTCCAATGAGCGCCATTCCTGAGGCGTCACCATTTTTATGTTCTTGCTTCGTTGCAGTTCTGTCGTCATCGTAAATGCTGTAATGGTACTAAGCCCGCCCAATGTCTCATTACAAGCAACAAGTGCTGTGATAGGCCAGGCCTACTTAGCCAAGCCAGTGGTAGACCTAATGAGGCTACAATGGAGCGTAGCTAGACCAACATTCAGAGCTACATCTTTTGCAACTGCTACGGATTTCTAGATTTTTAGGCTAGTTTTCCTTAGCATCCATGAACCTTTTTCCTATTTTAACAGGGACACCATCTTGAAAGACGACATGGACAAACCCAGGAAGATGATGATCAAAGATGGAGAGGGTGAAGAAGGGTCTCCAGCCTCACCGCTCACTGATGTAGGCCAACTGGAGCATCGTTTTTTTAATCCTTTTGATACACACCATCCCTACTTTTGGAACCTTTAGTTTAAATTTTGTGTTGTGCCACTTTTTTACTGCTCCAGCCTACGATAAAATACGACGAGCAGCCCGACTTTGTCACAGCAACGGGTGGCACGCTGCATCTGTACCAGCTGGAGGGTCTGAACTGGCTCCGGTTCTCCTGGGCTCAGGGTACTGACACCATCCTGGCAGATGAAATGGGTCTGGGCAAAACCATCCAGACCATCGTCTTTCTGTATTCGCTTTTCAAGGAGGTACCGTTTCGATTTGTGTCATATTATTAGAGTCGCTGTAGGTCCCAAAGTGTGACACGTTTTTTTGTTCTCAGGGTCACACCAAGGGTCCGTTCCTGGTCAGCGCACCCCTCTCCACCATCATAAACTGGGAGAGGGAGTTTGAGATGTGGGCGCCGGACTTCTACGTGGTGACGTACACAGGGGACAAAGATAGCCGAGCCATCATCAGAGAGAACGAGTTCACCTTCGACGACCCCATCAAAACGGGGAAAAAGGCCTTCAGACTGAGAGTGAGGGGGGGGGGGGGGACTCGAACAGCATCAAACATATGTTGCTCTGTTAAAAAAACAAAAATAAGCACAAGCCCATCCGTCTTGCTTTTCTGCAGCGAGAAGCTACGATTAAATTCCACGTGCTGCTGACCTCCTACGAGCTGGTGACCATCGATCAGACGGCGCTCAAGTCCATCGACTGGGCCTGTCTGGTGGTAGACGAGGCTCACCGCCTGAAGAACAACCAGTCCAAGGTACTGCTGCTGGTCTCTGTTAAAGCTCATCAACTCCCCCTAGAGGACAAATTCGATAATAATCTAAATCAGGCATCTCAAACTCATCATATTCACACAGGGCCAAAAAAATCACTCTGTCCAAAGTGAGGGCCGACTATAGTCGATATTTTTCACCCCAAGTTTTCCATGTTTTTACACACATCTCATACTGAAATGTTAGTACATCCATCCATCCATCCATTTTCATCCACTTATCCGGAGTCGGGTCGCAGGGGCAGTAGCCTAAGGTGAGAGGCCCAGACTTCCCTCTCCCCAGCCACTTGGGCCAGCTCCTGCGGGGGAATCCCAAGACGTCCAGGAGGCATCCTGACCAGATGCCAGAGCCACCTCAACTGGCTCCTCTCGATGTGGAGGAGCAGCGGGTCTACTCCGAGTCCCTCCCGGATGACCGAGCTTCTCACCCTATCTCTAAGGGAGAGCCCAGCCACTCTTCGGAGAAAACTAATTTCGGCCGCTTGTGTCCATGATCTCGTTCTTTCGGTCACTACTCAAAGCTCGTGACCATAGGTGAGGGTAGGAACGTAGATCGACCGGTAAATTGAGAGCTTCGCCTTCTGACTCAGCTCTCTCTTCACCATGACAGACCGGTACAACGCCCGCATCACTGCGGATGCAGCACCAAACCACCTATCGATCTCACGCTCCAGTTTTCCCTCACTCGTGAACAAGACCCCGAGATACTTAAACTCCTCCACTTGGGGCAGGACCTCCTCCCTGACCCAGAGAAGGCATTCTACCCTTTTCCAAATCAAGACCATGGTCTCAGATTTAGAGGAGCTGATTCTCATCCCAGCTGCTTCACACTCGGCTGTGAACTGCTCCAGCAAAAGCTGAAGATCACGTTCTGATGAAGCCAACAGGACCACGTCATCTGCAAAAAGCACCAAAACGGATGCCCTCCACACCTTGGCTGCACCTATAAATCCTGTCCATAAAGGTTATGAACAGAATCGGTGACAAAGGGCAGCCTTGGCGGGGTCCAACTCTCATCGGGAGCAAGCCCGACTTACTGCCGGCAATGGGGACCAAGCTCTGGCACCGGTCATACAGGGACCTAACAGCCCGTGTCAGAGGGCCTGGTACCCCATACTCCTGGAGTACCCCCCATGGTGCCCCCCGAGGGACGCGGTCAAACGCCTTCTCCAAATCCACAAAACACATGTAGACTGGTTGGGCAAATTCCCACGCACCCTCCAGGATCCCCCTAAAGCTTGGTTTATGCTTGACTCATCCGCGAGGTTCGCACAGCTCCACACGGGAAAGTTGCGTCATTTTAACAACCGCGCCTCCGCACGGCCCAGACTTTCCGCACCGCGCACCTAGGAAATTTTCTAACCACGCGGACGGTCGGATGTGGAAAAACATGGTGGACTGGCAAGAACTAGTATGGCAGAGTTCGTAAATACAGACATTTGTATGATTCAGCTCTCAGAGATCACCGTGATCATCATGTTGTTTATAATTCTTGGAGAGAAATAGCTCGCACTGTCGGAAAAGACGAGAACGCTGTTAAAAAATGCTGGAATGCCATGTTGTAAACAACAGTGATTTCTACTTCTACTATGGTGTAGTGTTGGATGCATGCCGTAGAGCTCCATGCTGCCCCCTACAGTTTGGGAGAATATTGGCTCACCGCAGAGACAAGCCGCATGAACCATAAACGCTGCAAGTTGTGAAGCGTGTTCCATCCGTGAGCCGCATCACCAAGCGGAAAGTGAATGCGTCAAGCATAAACCAAGCCTAAGGAGCTGATCCAGTGTTCCACGGCTAGGACGAAAACCACATTACTCCTCCTGAATCTGAGGTTCAACAATCCGACGGGCCCTCCTCTCCAGAACCCCTGAATAGACCTCACCAGGAAGGCTCAGACACATAAAATTAGAGCCAATACTGCAGCCTGCCACTAGGGGCTGCATCAGCTCCATGTTGCTGCAATAAATTCCTACATCTACCTTCTGTAGCTGCCCTTTTCTATTAAAACAAAACAAAGCTTAATGTTTACTGGTTTGATTTTCTTCTCAGTTTTTCAGGCGTCTGAATGACTACAAGATCGACTACAAGCTGCTGCTGACGGGAACTCCTCTGCAGAACAACCTCGAGGAGCTGTTCCACCTTCTCAACTTTCTCACACCCAATCGCTTCAAGTACGACTTCCCTCCGTCTAATCTACACGCCGAAGAAAGAAAACGATTTGCCTAGTTCAGAGCGACCTTGCTTCTTTTTCACCCGATGTCTCTTTCTCTGCAGTAACCTGGAGGGTTTCCTGGAAGAGTTTGCTGACATCTCCAAAGAGGACCAGATCAAAAAGCTCCACGACCTGCTGGGTCCCCACATGCTGCGGAGGCTCAAAGCCGACGTCTTTAAGAACATGCCTGCCAAGACGGAGCTGATTGTTCGAGTGGAGCTGAGCCCCATGCAGAAGTACGACCCTGGCACGTCTCTGTATAAGGATTCAAACATCTCCAGTGCTTTCTGATTCCACCATCTTATCTTTGTGTGTATTTCTTTAACTAGGAAGTACTATAAGCTGATTTTGACCAAGAACTTTGAGGCTCTGAACTCTAAAGGTGGAGGAAACCAGGTGTCTCTGCTCAACATCATGATGGACCTGAAGAAGTGCTGCAACCACCCGTATCTGTTCCCCGTCGCCTCAATGGTGAGGGCAGATTAACTCACTGATGCACCAATGCTGAAGGAAAATCATCCCTCTCTGTCAAATCGCACTAAAAATGTCACTTGGTGTAACAGTGACACCTCGTGGTCTCTTGTGGTTGTGCTCCAATTATTTTATGTGTGTTTTTGTTCATTTAGAGTCTATTGGTGGTCACCTTGTGTCTGTTTTGTTACGATGTTAAACGTGTGTCTGTTTTGCTCCATGTGCATCCCTCTTTGTGTTCATGTTTGCACCAAATCTCTTAGAAGAAATATTCACAGTCACCAGTATTGAGTCTGTGGGGCCTTCTTGCGTACAGGAAGCCCAGAAAAGCCCCAGTGGTGCGTACGAAGGGTCGGCCCTCACAAAAGCCTCTGGGAAACTGATGCTGCTGCAGAAGATGCTGAGGAAGCTGAAGGAGCAGGGGCACCGAGTGCTCGTCTTCTCACAGGTTCCCCAGCACACAGAAAGCAGCACAAGCACCAGGTGACAGGTGACGTTAGCCAGCAGAAGGCTCTGATGATGTTTCTGTGGTCTTTAGATGACTAAAATGTTGGACTTACTGGAGGATTTTCTGGACCATGAGGGCTACAAGTATGAGAGAATCGACGGAGGCATCACAGGAGCACTGAGACAAGAAGCCATCGACAGATTCAACGGTGAGAAAAAACACACTTTAACAGAGACAGAGTTTTGCGGATTAAAGAGGAGTTTAAAAATAAAATAGCAAAGTAAAGACACATCCCAAAGACACTAAAGGGATGCTGCGGCGTGGCTTTTCACAATAAGAGCATTAAAGTATGGTTGTCAGCAGGTGGCAGAGGTGAGTTATGTTTGGGTGAACCAAAGATGAAATGTGTGCTCTATTTTTAAAATAAGATGGGATTGCAATTCAAAGAGTAAAAGAAACTAAATTTCTTGGAGTTCTTATTGATGAAGACTTGTCATAGAAATCCCAAATTAGTTACATAAAAGGTCAAATTGCCAAATCCTTAGGAGTATCACATAGAGTCAAGTTTTTACTGACTAGTTCTGGTTTGTTGGCATTGTACAATTCACTGATTGTTCCATACTTGACTTATTGTGTAGATATCTGTGGAGCAGCATACAAAAACTATACACAACCCTTATTTATTTTACAGAAAAGAGCTCTGAGAATCATCAATTATAGTGGCTGTAGAGATCCATCGAACCCATTTAAAAAGCACCTCAAACTACATCTTAAAGGCTCCCAGACATGTTTGCATCTTTAGTTATTCTTATTTTTTGTTGCCTATTTTAATGGAATGTTTCTATCTGACTGTTTTTAAATTGTATAGTGTTACTTGTTTTACTTAGTTATCTTGTTGAAGGACTACAGATGCAAATGAGCAACTATGCTATATAATTTGGCCCATTTACGATCGATACAATGTATTTGATTGTTTATTAATGTGCATTGTCCTGAATAAATAATTGAATTGAATTGTTTATTAAATATAAATTACTGAAATTTCATGATTTAAAAAGACTGGAAAATCTTACAAACCATGTATGAAGCCAATTTAGGTACTCTGCCAACAAACATTCAGGGGATATTTGAAAAGAGAACTAGTAATTATATGCTGAAAGATACTGATGTGTTTGCAAAACCTAGATTTAGAACTAAAATTAAGGAGTGGAATACATCTGTAAATGGTGTTAAATTATTAATAACCTTAAAAGGGAAATTAAAAAAACTCTGTCATTTAATATATTCAAAAAATGTACCAAATTGAGTGTACTAAATAATTATGAAAATGTTAATTAAATCAATGATCATGATCGCACTGGAATTTAGAACAGGAAAAAGTTTAAAATGAATCTCTGTGTGTGTGTGTGTGTGTGTGTGTGTGTGTCTGACAAATGGAAATTATATATAAATTATTTCTTCTGGAATAGGGGGCAGAAATTATAAGATGTTTTTCTTCATTCTGCTCCTTTTCGTTCAAATTTGATTTTTTGTTATGAATATCTTATTGTTTATATGTTTTATTTGTTTTTATTTTGAATGAAATAAAAAAGAGAGAAAAAAACTTGACTTTTAAAACAGATGCACATGAATTAAGCCTTCAGAAGGCGTGGAAGTTTATGACAAGCCATTTCAATTCAATTCAATTCAAAAAAACTTTATTAATCCCAGAGGGAAATTGATTAATTGATTTCACTCTAAATATAAACGATTAAAAACTGTTATCAATAGATACTTAAAAGTATTCTATCAAATAAATAAATGTTTCAATAAAAATTATTAACAGGAAGCTAATTTAGTCAATTAGAATTTTATATTATATTATATTATTTATTTATTTTATGATTGTCTTTTTTGTGATGCTTTAATATTTTTAAATAAATATTTCATGGATTTTTTCTCTCCATTTTGTTCAGGTTCTATTTATTTTATGCTTGTATATTCAAATGAGTGGGCGGGGTTTTCTCTGAGCGGCGGGGTTTTCTCTGCTCACCTACGGAGCACAGTGGAGCGTATTCCCGCTGAGCCCTTTTTGGACTCTTGCTAGTGTCAGTATGACAGACGAGTGGGCGACGCCCTTTAGTAATGACGATTCATTGTTAGCAACAACATAATAACAGGATTTCTTTTAAAACATTTGACCATAATGGCTTTCCATACAGGTGAGTGTCCATTGAAAAGAAAGACAAAATAAAAGCATTACAATAAATAATTATTTTAAAAAATTTATGTTTTATAAATCTGAAATTTTCTCTGATCAACTCAAGAAAAAAACTTCTTAAACCTAAAAATGTAAAACCAGCCCTCATAAACAGACCTGTCGACTGGAATAAATACCGCAGAAATACGCGATGCCAACTAATAAAGTGGGAAATAAACAGGCAGAAACAGAAGTGACCGTTTGTTCAACGTTTTAACAAAAACAGGATGTTAGTAAATTACAGGCTCCTGATTATTCCCAGATCTGCTTGCTCCAGGTAGAAATTCCTGTTTATCACTGGAATGAGCTTGTTTTGCGTGGACCGTGACCAGACTTTTACAAAACGGTCTCAGTCAGAGTAAATCCAGCTGAAGCGAGGTAAATCAGTCTGGCACTTTTGAGTTTTAAAGCTAAACAGTGTTTTAGGGAAGCAAAGCATTAATGAGCGTTGGAAGTTAAAGTGTCCCGCGTTACTTCCACGAGGATTAGATTTTTGTGTCAGGGTGGATAATCACACCGTCTCCCTCGTCTCCAGCTCCTGGAGCTTGTCAGTTCTGCTTCCTGCTCTCCACCAGAGCTGGAGGTCTGGGCATCAACCTGGCCACGGCGGACACCGTCATCATCTTCGACTCTGACTGGAACCCCCACAACGACATACAGGTACAGCCTCTGATGGAATAAACCGTCGTCTGTCTAACTTCTGTTCTGCTTTATCTGAAGCAGCCTCTCTCTTGCCGCTCAGGCGTTCAGTAGAGCTCATCGGATCGGGCAGGCCAACAAGGTGATGATCTACCGCTTTGTGACGCGAGCCAGCGTGGAGGAGCGCATCACCCAGGTAGCGAAGAGGAAGATGATGCTGACCCACCTGGTGGTGCGGCCCGGTTTGGGATCCAAGGCGGGCTCCATGACAAAACAGGAGCTGGACGATATCCTCAAGTTTGGGACGGAGGAGCTCTTTAAGGACGAGGGAGAAGGTGACTGATGGTTCTGGCTGTGGCCATTTTTATTTGTTGGATTATTCTGAAAAGAAAAAAAAAACAAATATGCTGGCAGGTATGAAGAATAATTCTGGGGATAAAGTGGAGGACGAAGGCAACGTGATTCATTACGACAGCACCGCCATCGAGAGGCTCCTGGACCGGAGCCAGGACGACACCGACGACTCGGACGTCCAGAACATGAACGAGTACCTCAGCTCCTTTAAGGTGGCCCAGTACATGGTCCGAGAGGAGGACAAGGTACGGTGAGGTCAAACAGGAAGTGGGGGAGGACGTAGACAGAGTGGAGAGCGAGAGGGAGGAAAAATAGATAAAGTTTCCTGTGAATAAACTCTTGAATCATTTTGGCTTGAGGCCCATAAAATGTTCAAATCACGAGAGCTTTCCGTGCAGAGGATTCATTTGTAAATGATCCTTTTGATTCCTGAGCATGTCGGGAAACTGAACTACGCCCAGTTTATCTCGTGTGTGATCCAACATTTTATTCGTGTATCGCAATGACAGTAAAATCAACCTGAAACCCCACTTTCAACACTATTCAAATAGAATCAACAAAGAAACATGAAAAATCTAAACAAAAACTAAAGGTAAAGAAATCCACACAATCCCAAATGTACCATGTTCTTTTGTTAGAGCTCTTTCTCTACAAATAGGCATAGTTTAGTCAGAAAATGTTAGAAACCAAGGAAGCTTCTAAACCCTGACCCTATAGAACAAATGAGACAGAAAAACGAGTCTGACAATGTGGACATGGGAGACTACGGAAGCATATTGCCGTCAGTCCGAAGAAAAAAATATAGGAGCAATATCTCTTAATAACAAAAACCATTCTCAGTATGACGTATAAGTCTTGTTTTGATGAGAGACATTCTCATGATGATGACTAGTTGTTTCAAAGTAACGTGTTTAATATCTTGTAATATTGAGAAAGGTGATAGGTAGTAATGTAAGAAAATATCGATATAGCAATATATCGCGATATTTTTTCCTGCGATATTATATCGATGTTCAAAAGCTGTGTATCGATTTTTTTGGAAGAATTTACGTGCAAACATTTGTGTATTTTCTTTTCTTTCGGTGCAAATCAAATGCCGTCCGCTAGTCAGCAGTAGTGTGCAATGGAGTTTGTTTCCACCATTGAAATGTAAATCCCTCTATTATGGTTCAGATACCTCATGTTAATCACGTTAAGTATCAGTTTGGACCGTTTATTGAATTTTCCTACAATAATTTTAGTCTAAAAAAAATCTCTAATATCGTCCAACTGAATGCATCGCAATATATCGTGATAAGTATCGTATCGCCAGAATTTCACCAATACACATCCCTAGTCATAAGTGGCGGTTTTGTGTCGTGGCGTTCTTCTCAGAGGGAACAATCTTTCAGTTTTGGTTCTTTAACTTTTAGGAGATATACTGTAGCTGCAGCAGTGTCACAAAAACGGGGGCAAAACCACCAAACAGCGGTGCACAATTGAACAAACTACACTCGCTAGCTCTCTTCTCTGCCAGCTTCGCCACACACGCTCATGGCCAAGGCAACTCACTGGCATCTCTCATCCTGAGAGGCTGTGTTTAAGTGTAACAGGTGCATGACACCAAAAACACCCATAGGTTTCTCACACAAAGGGAACATGTCTGATTTAACATCAGGACAGATTTTTTTTATGCATATCCATCCATCCATTCTCTTCCGCTAACCCGGAGTCGGGTCGCGGGGGCAGCAGCCTAAGCCCAGACACTCTGCGGAGAAAAGTCATTTCAGTCAATTCTGTCCGTGATCTCGTTCTTTCGGTCACTACCCAAAGCTCATGACCATAGGTGAGGGTAGGAACGTAAATCGAGAGCTTTGCCTTCTGACTCAGCTCTCTCTTCACCGTGACAGACCGGTACAACGCCCACATCACTGCAGATGCAGCACCAATCCACCTATCGATCTCACGCTCCAGTTTTCCCTCACTCGTGAACAAGACCCCGAGATACTTTAGCTCCTCCACTTGGGGCAGGACCTCATCCCTGACCCGGAGAAGGCATTCTTCCAGTTCAAGACCATGATCTTGGATTTAGAGGAGCTCATTCTCATCCCAGCTGCTTCACACTTGGCTGTCAACCACTCCAGTGAAAGCCAGAAATCACGTTCTAATGAAGCCAACAGGACCACATCGTCTGCAAAAAGCAGAGACCCGATCGTCAGGCCACCAAAACAGGTCCCCTCAACACCTTTGCCTGCACCTAGAAATCCTGTTCATAAAGGTTATGAACAGACAAAGGGCAGCCTTGGCGGGGTCCAACTCTCATCGGGAGCAAGCCCGACTTACTGCCGGCAATGCAGACCAAGCTCTGACACCGATCATACAGAGACCAAACAGAGGGCCTGGTACCCCATACTCCTGAAGTACTCCCCACAGGGCTCCCCGAGGGACGCGGTGAAACGCATTCTCCAAATCCACAAAACACATGTAGACTGGTTGGGTGACCTCCCACGCACCCTCCAGGACCCCACTAAGGGTAAAGAGCTGGTCCAGTGTTCCACGGTCAGGACAAAAACCACATCGCTCCTCCTGAATCCTATCTGATGGACCCTTCTCTCCACAACCTCCAAATACACCTTACCAGGGAGGCTCAGATAAAAATTATAGCAAGTGGATGTCAGTGCATATCCTTTTATTAAACTATAAAATGTTTTTTAATGTGAAGGGCTGTTGTTTTTGAAGTGGTGGTGCAGCCTGGCCGAAGTCTAGCTGCTTCTTATGAAGCCACAAAGAAGCTCCCCCTGACTCCATCTTCTCCCTTTGTTTCTTCTGGACGACATCCTGTAGGAAGTCAGGGTTTTATCATTGTAAGCTTTCTCATTATTACCAAATATTGAACGTGTTTTTTTTTAAACATTTCCATTAAAATTACTTTTACCTGTTATGAGAATGTTTCTCATTAAAAAACAAGATTTATATCACGTAATACCGAGGAATGTTCTTGTTTTGTTTATCCCCACCCCCACGCTGGCAGCAATAGCCATCCGTAGGACAGGAACAGCAAAACTGTGGATTGAACCGAGACGTCAAACAAACTAAGAAATATCACAAACTTTATGACTAACATCTAGTTAGGCTAATTAGGCTAACTGATGACAGGCTGCTAAGATGACAAGAGTTTGGAGATTTCAACTAAATTATTCAGTAATATTCACCTTATCGATTTTTCCCAACAGATTGAGGAGATCGAGCGGGAGATCATCAAACAGGAGGAGAATGTGGATCCGGATTACTGGGAGAAACTATTGAGGCATCACTACGAGCAGCAGCAGGAGGACCTGGCCAGCAAGCTGGGTAAAGGCAAGAGGAACCGCAAACCCGTCAACTATAATGACGCCGCACAGGAAGACCAAGGTAGGGACTGGGTTTAGGACACGGGGTTTAAATGAGAAGTGTGTCCACCGTGGGGCCTACTCACACAGCGCCATGTGCTGTTCCAGAGTGGCACGCTGACATTTCAGACAACCAGTCTGAGTACTCCGTTGGGTCTGAAGAGGAGGATGAAGACTTCGACGATCGGCCAGAGGGTAAGGGAGAGATTTTCGAAAGAAAGGGAAAGGAGAAAAAAGACGAACCAAGGAGAACTTCTGAGGTCTGTGTTGAATTAGAGTTTGATTTAGCTGTTGTAGTTTTCTGGCAGAACTGCTCAGGTTAGACCGCCAAGAATGCAAACCCCCCTCCAACTCCCACTCCAGAGCTTTTCAAGTAACAAATTCAAGCGTATCCGAAGTTTTTTTTATAAATTCCTTATCACTGAAATCCAGTTGCTATACATTTGAGAAGAAATCCAAAACATTATCTTGGTGATATCCTTGACATTCTTTTCTCTTGACTGCTGTCAGGTCGAAGGCAGTCCCGCCGTCAGCTGAGGAACGAGAAGGATAAACCCCTGCCTCCTCTCCTGGCCAGAGTGGGAGGAAACCTGGAGGTCTGCATACATTTAAAACTGAGCTATGGGGTGCTGATTGTAAAACTATACATTTAAAATGAGATGGCTTTATTTGTTTACATTCAGCTTCAAATATTTAAAATAAACGTTTAGAATCAAATCAAAGTATATTAAGTTAAACCTGATCATTTAGACAATTTATTTTATTGGTTTGATGTTAAAACTGTAAAAATAAAGTTTAACAATTTATCCTGTGACCGTGAAATGAAAACCCAGGCACATACATTAACTCATTCGCTGCCAGCCGTTTCCTGATCAGTAAAGCCCTTCGCTGCCAGCGTTTTTCAGCATATTCACTGTTTTTTTAAGAGTCACAGAACATTGCGTGCTAGGATGATGTCTACGCCAAAACAAAGGGAGACTCACCTCTTACATCAGGAAGAATCCGCGCGTTTCGAATGTTATCCGTTCTTTCATAATCCGTTGTTGAATTGTGATCGGCAGAAGCTTTTCCTGTTCGCGCCTCGCTTGTTTTACAGCAGCGGCCCAAAACGATCTCCTAACACATGGATGTTCTGCTTCCTGATCATGTGACGTGTGACGTACGCAGTTGAAGATCGGCTTTAGAGCTGAGATGTTTGTTCTCACGGTGCGGGGGCTTGTTCCGACGCCCACTCATTAAAAATATGCAAGTAAACGGTTAGATTTAAAATAACGACTTTTGTCGTCAGTGGCAGTGAATGAGTTAATGATTGTTCTATAGCTGAACAGATTCCCTCTGGTTTACCAATAAAAGCACTCTGACATGTTAGGAGATCTATTCACGCTGCTTTTAATTACCGTATTTTCCGGAGTATGAGGCGCTCCGGAATATAAGTCGCACCAGCCATGAAATGTATAATGAAGAAGAAAAAAACATATGTAAGTCACACTGGACTATAAGTCGCATTTTGGGGGGGAATTTTATTATTTTTCTTACAAAATCTGAGACCAAACATTTCACATTGCAAGACAGGTACCGGTAACAATAACAGAATAAACAATCAGGGCGCAGCAGCACACCACGGTCTCCAGCAGAGGATGGCGGTGTTTCAAACCCTCCTAGCGGGTGGGGAAAGCGCCTGCAGTACCCCGCCACAGGCTGCAGCAGGTGATGGCGGTGTTTGAAACCCTCCCAGCGGGACAGAGGAGCTGAAACCTGGACCGGAACCGGCCCGCAGCAGCACGCAACGGTCTCCAGCAGGTGATGGCGGGGCAGGGGAGCTCATTCCTGGTCCGGAGCCGGCCCGCAGCATCGCAGTATACATAATTTGGTATATAAGTCGCAAGACCAGCCAGACTATGAAAAAAAGTGTGACTTATAGTCTGGAAAATACGGTAATTGGCAATTTTAATTTTATGGAGGTCTGATTTAGCACATTAGCTAAATATTTAGTTTAACACTAAACATTTCAAATAGTTTTTTTTACAGTAATTGTTTTGTTTTGGCTTTATGATAAATTCACTGTACTTACATAGCGCCTTCTAGAGTTCTACAATGCCCCGAGGTGCTTCACTACACAACCAGTCATTCACCCACGCACACACACGTTCACATGCTGGTATTTAGGTTTGATTCTAAATATTGAAATTTAACTTTATTGGTCTGATTTTGAATATTTGTTTAACTTTATCTATATTTAGATTTAATTATTTAATTCATATTTCTCACTACATTAAAATATTTTTTATGTACTGTATGTCAATGTTATTTGCTTTTATACTTGAAAATGTAGACATCACATTGTGATTTTCTAAATATATCCAACTAAACAGTGGCTAATCCTTTCAGTCTCCATATGTGAGGCTAATAGTGGCAAAATTTAGCAGTT